AGGAGCTACATTCAAAGATGATTGAAGAGACTCAAAAGTTCAAATCAATATCTGTTGTGTTGAACATTCACCTTCTCATGAAAAGATCCACTTTTGATTGAACCCTCTGAAGAATAAGAAGACTCTGCAGAATTTGAATACAGCTGTCAACATAGCACAATCAAATACTGCAGCCATTGATCTAATAACAATATATCAAATTCAGTCTGAGAAGATCAATTTAAGTGTGGTCATCACAGTTTTTATGATGATGCTCAAATTAGAACTGACAATCCATTGTTCTGCTCTGAATGTAAAAGAGCCCACACATTTGTTGATTTATCAATCCTAACAGCACACCTGATGATTGAAAGATGAATAACACAGTGAGAATAAAATAGTTTAAGAATAAGAAGAAAAAGAAGAATAAAGATAAAAAGAATAGAAATAATAATGAAAATAAATTTCAATTGATGATTACAGACAGTTTTGAATCCTTTCAAATGATGAACCTCATGAAGATTATAAACATGCTAGTCTACTTAGTGGAATCGCGTAAGAATCTCTCTTACTATATGGAATAGTGGCGCCGGCTGTCATATTGTAAGTGAAAGATCACTTTTTTCAGTGCTCATTTTGATTAACAGCTTTATAATTCAAATGGTCAATAAAGCTGTTCTGAAGATTCAGAATGTCAGCATGGCATCTATCTCAGTCAGTGAGAGGTTAATAGAATTCAATCATATATATTATGTATCAGAACTATCGGCCAACCTCATTTCTGCTGAATTTATGAAACATCAGAGCTATATTTACTGTGATATGTATGTTGATACTGGGAATTACTTTGAGTTTCTGTCTTTTACTGATAGCAATATGTTTTATGCCAACCTCTCCCGCAATAATATCTACATCCTTTCTAACAATCCTTCGATATTCGATGGCATAATGAACAATTCTGAATATGGCGGCATGGTGTATGTTGCTGTGTCTAGATTAACAACTGTATTCATGGAATTCAATCTGAACACAGACTCTCTAGAGTTCTTTATCTGATCAGAAGTTGAGTAATTAATCAATCTCAAGGATTCTGATTCTGATTTCTTCATGATCCCCCCCTCATTCTGCCTGTTGGTGATTTTGCCAAAGCAGCTGTCAATTGATGAATGACACTGAAGATTGAGTCTTATCAGTGAGGTGAATTTATTGAGAATGGTCTATGATCTCTGATTTGAGATTATGATAAATGGTTTAAAGGAGTTGTCCTTTTGCTCTATATATGTAAAAGCTCAGTAGAAATGAACATTCTACAAGAATTTAATGCCCTGTTATGCCACCTGCAAAGCTCTCAAGATTTGAGTAGATATTTTCAGTGAGAGTCAGACACTTGACTCTGAGGAGGAAATAACTTCATACATCAGCAAGAAGTTCACCATGGTTCTTACAGATGATGCCACATCAAATGAGATAGATATTTTTATTGAAATATAAGAATGAGATGTTAAAATACATGTAGATTTTCAATTAATTCATGAAGAATCTTTTGAGCCGCAGCATGGCAATTCTATATTCAGATTGTGATGAATTGAATTCTAAGACAGCCACAGCTTATATGTTGAGTGAGGGAATTAAGTGGAAATCAATTTCAATACATCTTAACAGAATGGTGTATCTGAGTGTTTTATTGATCTGATTTTCAAGCAGGCCCAGTCTCTGCTTTTGAATTCATCTACCTCATTAAAGATGTGGGGTGAGGCAGTGATTGCTGTTATAGAGTTAATTAATCTTATATCAATGTCAACTGATCTGTACAGCGGTTCTGAGGGTTTGAAGCTGATTATCTTATATGAGGTCTGATTGAGAGCCCTCTCATCAGTCTGAGGCATTCATTGCTGAGGTTGTAAGATGTTTCTTAAAATAGTGTCTAAGCTCACAAATAAGATGGCCTCTTATTCCTTAGAGCTTATTTTTGTTGGTTATGATGAGTTCATTAATTATAGATTGATTGATCCTTTTAATGGGTGTCTATATATATTCAAAAATGTCATTTTTCAGAAGAATCTTTATCTTGCTGATCTGATCACCTCAGCTACTCAGAATCCGAAGACCTTGTCTACAATTGTCAAGCAGACAGCTGCAATGATTTTTTCAGTTGTCAATTTGAATGAAAAGTTTATTGTGAAGAAAATTCAATCTATGCATCTGTTATTTCTAATACCCATCAATAATTGATGGGTCAATTACAAAATTTTGATGAGAATATTTACCTTTTTGATGCAAAATACCCTAATTTCCTCAGATTCTTCAATAGAATTAGAGGATATCTCAATTTTTACAAAGAATATCACTGCAATTGAGAAGTCTTCAATGAAAGATGACTTTGAGACTGAAGATCTTCCTTCTAATTCCGAAATTACAGATTTATTGATTTTAAGGAACTTCATATGTGTCAAAGCTTTCTGACGATGAAAGTTCTATTATCATGTCTGTGTCAAGAGAGTTAACTGTTTGAAGCAGATCGTTTGAAGTGAATTGATTGAAAGAATCTCTAATATAGCAGTTCTTCAGAGTCAATGAGTGTTTGATAAAAAGTTCAATAATATAAGCAAAATCATCTGCTATAAGACCTGCTGCATGGTCTGCAGCAATTATCAACAAAAGAGTGTCAATTATTTAAAGATCTTTGCACTCATTGTTTCTGCTTCCACATCTCAAGCTTTTATAGCAATCTCAGCATTTCAAGAATGACACATTCTGCAAATCCATATAATAACTGTGTTCTTGAACACTCAACTATTGATTGATGAATGAATATATATCAGTCAATTTACAGACTTCTGTGAAGGTTGTGGTGATCTTGTTTGTGAATTAATGCAGAGACTCTACAGTCTTAAGCAAGCAGCACTTTTATGATATGAAGAACTGCAAAAAATCCTATTGAAATCAGGTTTCTGCATCAGTTCTTGTGATGCTGAGCTATTCATCCATGGCATAAAGAGGGTTTATGTGACTGTATATGTGAATGATGTTCAACTATACAGCTCAAGAATCGAAGATCTAGACTGGATCAAAGCCGAAATTGCAGCCAATTACAAGATCAAGGATGTGAGGGATTCAAACTGCTATTTGAATATGAAGATTGAAAGAAATTCTAGTTCACTTACATTATTCCAACCTCTTTTCATTAAAAATCTTCTGAAGGAATTCTCAATGAATGACTGCCACTCTACATCCACCTCTATGAAGGAGAATGTTGATTTCATTAATGATGATGAGGAACCGGTCGCCTACACAGTGGAATTTACACTACATTTTTATCAGTCAGACATTGAATTTTTGCAATATCTTACAACCAATACACATTCTAATCTTAGCTTTGTCACAGGCTTCCTGAGATGATTCAGCACCTGCTCTACTTCAAAGAATTGAGCCACATTCAAACATATACTCTAATATTTGCAAGGTTCAATTGATGAGAGTAT